ACCCAAGACAGAAGTCGGTAGCAGGAGTGGGGTCTTGCTGTGGAGTCTGACCATGCTTTTGTTTGAAGGAATATGGACCATGGGATTGTGCATTAGAAAAGCAGTGAAACACTTTGCTCCCCCATCTGGGGGCCTCTGCTTGGAGGGGTGAGTGGAGGTGGAAACAAAGGAAGGCAGCAGAGGGCAGGTGATGGTGAAGACAGGGGAACCAGGCTGTGCTGGGAGCGCTGTGCTCGCTTGCCCTGTTGTTCTCTGCAGGGCCCAAGGGGGGCACACCTTGTGCTTGGGTCTCAAGCTTGGGTCTTGTGCTTGGGTGGCAGTGGCTGCAATGGGAGGGGGCAGAGGGAAGAATGGAGGTGGATAAGAGCAAAACCACCTCCACAATGGAATAGTTTAAGCCCTGTTTAATGGGCCATACTAGTAGGAACATGGAAGACAGTGGTGCCAAGAGTTATTTGACCTGTGTGTGGAGGTGGAGCTGGCTCAAGAGGTTTCAGAGGAGAATTTTAATGTGTTGTCTAGAAATCATTCTTGTGAGGTTTTGATGAAGAGGCTGCTGCTCTTTTCCCTGGTCTAAAGAGTCTGCGTGAGGCTAAAGTGAAGAGTTTTATGGATTAATTCAGGTGGCCGAGGAAATCTCAAACAGCCTAGTATAGACTCTGTTTTGTGGTTAATGAAGTTAACACTAAAGAAGATATATAATGAAAAAGAGCAGGATGAGCAAGAAAGATATTGGAGGAGAAAGGGAGCACCGGAAAGTGGCGTGGAGCTAAGTCCTGTGTTCAAGGAGATAAACATTAAAAAATGAAATAAAGGGAGTGGTGACACAGGGCAAGGTCTCACCCAGCTAAATTTCCAACTTGTGAAAAGGAACTAAAAGAAAAAAATCTTAGAGCCAGGTGTTGTGGGGAACACCTTTAATCCAAGTACTGGGAAGACAGAGGATGGCAGATTTCTGAGTTTGAGGGCAGCCTGGTCTACAGAGCAGGCTTCAGGACAGCCAAGCATAGGCAGTGAAGGAAACCATGGAAACCAGAGAGCTGGTAAAGATATAATTGAACAAGGGAGCCATGTTCCAGCCCCAGCAAGCAGCATAACTTGGCTGCTTTGGCCACGTAGTTCTGGCTTTAAAGTTAAAAATAGAAGAGATGGGTTATGGAATTTGCCTCCAAGACTAAAGAAACGACTGAGGCCAGGCATGTGGCAGGGGTGTCCATGAATGGAGGCCTAGAGAGGCCATTGCATGAAGCCTGGATTGCCTTGGAGAACCCAAGATGTTGGAGATGCCAGAGTCATGGGACACCTGCCAAGGAGAGCTGCTAACAGGGAGTGGAACCAGCCCAAGAGGAAGAAATGTGTTCTAGTCAACAAAGCTGAACAGAGTTGAAGATCTACTGAGTGTTTTGACATCAGACACAGAGATACAGAGTTTGGAGTTTGCCCCTGGTTTTTGGTCTTGCTTTGGTCCAGTATCTCCTCACTATGCTAATTTCCCTGCATTTTGGAGTGGTAATGTATATTCTGTGCCAGTATATGTTGGAAGGATGTGATCTGCTTTTTGATTTTGATTTTTACAGGTACTTACAGTTAAGAGAGTGTATGAATCTCAGGAGAGACTTTGAACTTCTTTTAAACATTAAGACTGTGATGGAGAATGGGGCCTTTGAAGTTGGACTAAATTCATTTTGAATTATGATATTGTTACAACCTTATGAGGGCCAGGGAGTGGAAGATGGTAGTTTGAAGTAACTGACAACCATAATCTCATAGGAGTAGCACTTTTAGGGGTGTGGCATTAGTGGAGGAAGTGCGTCACTGTGGGGGCGGGCCTTGAGGTTTCCTATGCTTAGGATACCACCCAGTGTGTCAGTCAACTTCCTGTTGCCTGCAAGATGTGTGACTCTCGGCTTCATCTGCCTGCACGCCACCACGCTCCCCATCTTGGTGATGATGGAGTCAACCTCTGAAAGTCTAAGTGAGCCACCCAATTAAATGTTTCCTTTAAGAGTAGCCGTGGCCATGCATGCTGTCTCTTCACACACACTAAGAGTTCTCATGAGCATTTATGAATGCTGCTCTTACTCCTGTTTGACAGATCATAGGACATGTGATCACATGGTATCCTGCTCCCATTTCCTCTGTGGACAGGGACCAGACAGGGATCAGTGAATGCTGTTGTGCAGCTTGCTTGTCCTTTTTCTTCAGTCCGGGACCTCAGGACAGGGAGCAGGTATTCCCTATTCAGTCAAACCTTTCTGGAAATACTTCATAGACACCCAAAGGTGTGTCTTCAAGGTGATTCTAAATTCAGTCGACAGTGAAGATCAACCATTCTACCATCTCTCTACCATGAGTTCCAATACATATCTTGGCTTTGTTGATTGAGACAGGTTCTCAAGTAGCCCTTAGCTGGCCTCAAACCCCTTATGTATCTGGGGATGACCTTGAATTCCTTATCCTCTGCCTCTACTTTCCAAGTGCTGGCATTCCAGGAATATGCTGCCATGCCCAAATACCACATGTTCCTTATCTGTTTCAAAACATTGTGTTCCTTCTTAAGTTTGAACCTCTAGTTCCAGGTGCCTATGCCGAGAAAGACTTCTCAGTCAAACTCCTGGCAAATTCCAACTCATTCTCCATGACCCGATTCCAGGTTCTAGAACAAATACTCTTTGACCAGTTAAGTACCTCCCATGTGCACTTTTCTAGGTTCTGGGGACTCAGTTGTGGTGGAACCCAGCAGACTCAGTCCTCAATTGAAGCCCAGTGGGATGCACAGGTGTGGTTAGGTCTCTAGAAGAGGGACTCTTCGGGAGATGAGAGCAGAGGGCTTTTGTGGTACACATATGTTTGCTTTCTCTGCATCTATGTGCATGTGCACACACATGTTTATACACACAGCATGCATATCAGCAGAATCTATACCTGTGGTTCAACTAGCTATAGATGAAAGATATTCAGAGAAAATCATTTATTGTCCTAGGGTTACTATTGCTGTGACGAAACACCATGACCAAAAACAACTGGGGAAGGAAAGGGTTTATGTGGCTTAACTTTCCATATTGCTGTTCATCACTAAAGGAAGTCAGGACAGGAACTCAAACAGGGCAGGATCCTGGAGGCAGGAGCTGATGCAGAGGCCATGAAGGGTGCTGCTTGCTGGCTTGCTCCCCACAGTTTGCTCAGCTTGTTTTCTGATAGAACCCAGAGCCACCAGCCCAGAGATGGTCCCATCCACCAGGGGCTGGGCTCTCCCTCCCACATCAGTCACTAATGAAGAAAGTGCCTCACAGCTGGATCTTATGGAGGTGCTTGCTCAACTGAGGCTCCCTCTTTTCAAAAGACTCTAGCTTGTGTCAAGTTGACATAAAACCAGCTAGCACACTTCTTACTGAACATATACAAACTTTTCTTGTCATTCTCTATCAACACCACTATTACACACAATTAACACTGTATTAAGTATTATATGTAATCTAGAGATGATTGGAGGTCATGCATAGTGTCAAAAGCCTTTAATTCTAGTACTCAGAAAGGAGAGACAGTGGGTTTTTGTGAGTTCAAGGTCTACATAGTGAATTTCCAGGCTAGCCAGGGCTACTTAAGAGACCTTGTCTCCAAAGAATCCAAAAACCAAAAAACAATACACACGCCTTTAATCCCAGCACTCGGGAGGTAGCAGGTGGATCTCTGTGAGTTTGATGGCAGCCTGGTCTACAAAGTGAGTTCCAGGGCAGCCAGACTGTTACATCGATAAATCATTTCTCAAAAAAATGAAACAAAACAAAACTAAACAAAACTAAACAAAACACCAACCAAGCAAATAGTTTGGGTGGAAGCTCCACCTCATCCCCTCCTCTCTCTTTCTCCAAACCTTGCCCCCTTTCAAAAAAGCCCACCAAAACCCAGGCGTTGGTGGTACACGCCTTTAATCCCAGCACTCGGGAGGCAGAGGCAGGCGGATCTCTGTGAGTTCGAGGCCTGGTCTCCAGAGCAAGTGCCAGGATAGGCTCCAAAGCTACACAGAGAAACCCTGTCTCGAAGAGAAAAAAAAAAAAGTGGAATCGGGATTTTTTTTTTAAGATTAAAAAGAATCAATTAATTGTGTGTGTTTGTGTATGTGTGCATGTAAGTTTGGCTGTCTATGGGGGCCAGAAATGTTACATATGGTTGGCTTAGAAATACCCAGAGCGCTGGAAACTGAACTTGACCCTCTGAAAAAGCAGCAAGCACTCCCAACCCCTGAGCCATCTCTGCAGTCCTGCAATCAGGCTTTCGAACGTACATTTAAGCACCTTAACAAGAAACACCGGCAGTTAAAGCTTTTACTAAATAGATTAACAGGTAAAATAGAACTGTATTTGGCTACAGACCACCGTTGTCCAACTATCCAGAGCCAGCTGTCCTGGACTTTCACAGGCACTTTATGTGGCAACAGGAACGGACACTTTTGGGAGCTAGAAGACTTCCGGCCTTCACTAAGGTCCCTGGCCAGGATCTATCTGGTCTGCTCCTGCTTCAATCTGTGTCTGAGAATTGCTTAGGTAGTGGAAGCCGTCAAATAACCGGGCTCCTTTTAAGGCTCCAGAGGAGTGGTGTTAGCTAGAGGTGGCTTAAAGGTTTGCCCCAAGCACCGAGTGAGCCCACAGTGGCGCTGGGATTAGACCCCAGGCTTTCTACTTCACTCCGGTGCTGCTTTTCCCTCTGGACAGGGAAGGTCACTTCAAAGACAGGATCAGTGAGTGGTGTCAGTGTGTCCAGCTTGCGCAAGCAGCCCGCGAAAACTACAAGTTCCAGCATGCTTCACTTCGAAGACGCCGTTCGCTCTCCGGCCCTCGGCTTCTCGTTGGCCCTCAAGCCTAACGTGCTGCTCCATGATTGGTTGGATCCACTGTCGCTCGTAAGAACCCTTTTTAGTGGCCGACTGACAGGCGACCGGGACCTCTAAAGTTATGGGACCGCGCTCTACTCGGATAGGAGGTTACCCAGCCAATGAGGCTGCCATCCCGCTGACTGCGAGGCTTTCCTTTATAAGACTCCGATGATACTAGTTTGGAGGGCTTCCGGCCGGAGACCATTAGCAGAGACACCCGGAAGGCGGAAGTCTTAGGGCGGAAGTGGCCGAGAGAAAAGGAGAATGGCGGCCGAGGCCTGGCTTTGGCGCTGGGGCTGGGGCCAGCGGTGCCCAGGGAGGCCTGGGCTTCCTGGCCCCGGCCCAGGCCCCACTACACTTCTACATTTCCTTCTATTGCTGGGTCCGGTGGCTGCGGACATAACCGACGGCAACAGCGAGCACCTTAAGCGGGAGCACTCCCTCATCAAGCCCTACCAAGGTGAGGCCCCGCGGGGAGGAGGAGGCTGGGGTTGCTTGCAGGAGGGCATGGCCTTTTTGCTGAGCAGAGCAGCTCTGGAGATGTCTGGCGTGGCCTTTCGGGCGCCTGTCTACGTGTGTCTCTGCCCACAGGGGTCGGGTCCAGCTCCATGCCGCTCTGGGACTTCCAAGGCAGCACCATGCTGACGAGCCAGTACGTGCGTCTGACCCCCGACGAGCGCAGCAAGGAGGGCTCCATTTGGAACCACCAGGTGAGTCTTCCCCTAACGGCTGGACGTACAGACGGCTCCCTGACCCGGCAGGCTCTGCCTCCTCAGCAGCCAAGCTTAGTTTATACACATGGCGATTTTGTGCTGCCGATTTTGTGGCCTGGTCACACAAGGAGAGAGAGAAAGAGAGAGAGAATCCCTGTGGTGTAGTTACCGTGTGTCGGGAGCTGTGCGTGACACTTAGTTTCTTCAGAAGCCACGCAAGGTAAGGAATGAGGTCCCCATTTTAATGACTTGAGCAAGAAGCCAAGGTTCTTAGCTTTTAAGATGGGCGTTCCTAAAGTCACAAAGCGAGAAATGAGTGGAGTTGTCAGACCAAATTGAACTCGCTTAATGGAGGGAAAGATGAAACTGTATCCTTACAAGAGTATTTGGCTATGTGTTGGGTTAATTCTCAAACCGGGTGTTTGGAATAGATGGGCTAGATGACTTTATGCAGAGCAGTGTAGCCAGTGAATGGCACAAATAGTATCTCAGAGTGACCTTTCTGACCCCCCGCCCTCAGCAATTCATTTGGCATATTTGAAGCCCTGTGGTTGGAAGTGAGAGGACCCTGTGACATACTTACCAGCCCTAATTCCCGTTCTCAGTGCTTGGTGGAGAGCCTTGTCATCCACTGGACTTGTGGTGGCCTTTACCTTGGAGGCCAGGAACTGTGATGCCTTGTCTTGTTGTGTGGGAGCAAAGCTGTGCAGTGTCCACACTGAGGAGGCATAAGCTGGGGAAGGGGATTAAGGGAATAACTTGAGGATAAAGCATTGCTTGAAAAGGACCCTGCTTCTCCTAGCCTGCCTGATGTAACCCTTCCCTCCACCCACACTGTTGGCCAGTGTCCTAGTTTTCCCCATCATCCTGCTCTCGTAGCCCTTCTGGCTGATTTTGTCCTTGTGTTGCCTCGTTAGCCTGTCCCCCTCAGCACCTCCTCCTCAGGCCTCCACATTGCTGTTAGGGGTGTCTGCGGTTACTTTCCTCATCCAGCTTTGGCTCTCCTCTTCAGAGCCTGAGGTCTTGGATGAATGGAAACCCACGTTATGTCTGCACAGCCTGTCCCTTGGTGACTGGCGTCTCCAGTCGTCCTGTCACTTTGTTCCAGCTTTCTTCCCTAAGGACCTTTGCGCTTGTTCGCTCTGTCTGGGACAGTGCCTCCTGGTTATTCGTGACTGCTCCTTGGTTACTGCTCATCTGTTATTAAGTCCGGGTTCAGGTGCCACACAGCAACACTTTGAGTGCTCGATTAATCATCCCCTACCCCTCCCCGTCACAGTCGTCACATCATTCTGTCTTAGGCTTTTCAATTACTTCTTTTGTTCTGTCTGTTTTTATTTTTGTGGTGCTATAGATTGGACCCTGGTTCTTTTTTTGGGGGGTGGGGGGCGCGTTGAGACAGGGTTTCTCTGTGGCTTTGGAGCCTGTCCTGGAACTCGCTCTTGTAGACCAGGCTGGTCTGGAACTCACAGAGATCCGCCTGCCTCTGCCTCCCGAGTGCGGGATTAAAGGCGTGTGCCACCACCGCACTGGACCCTGGTTCTTATGCACGCCAGGCAAGGCAAGCATGTCACCACTAAACTATGTATGTAGCTTGGATACTACTTTTTTAGGTGGTAATATAGCCTTGTATTTTTTTTATAGAAATGAGTTTTCAATATAGCATTAAATTTTGTTTTGTAAAAAGCAAGGTGAAAATATTGATGGAACTGTTAGGAATTGGGTTCACACACAAGGAACAGACACATCCAAGTAGTGATCTAAATTAGGTTTGTAAGTGGCTGATGGTTACCGTAGTTGGTGGCTTGGTGACGTCAGAGGACCAAGAACATTCTGTGCTTGCTTTGGTTGAATTGCAGCCCGGGACTTTTGCTTCTGGACCCTGCTGACAATTTTTAAATGTTTATAGTGCAATTTATACTTCTGGAAAGACATTGCTTGGAACTCTTAGAAGTTCCTATTTACTATTTCCTCACAGAACTGCAGTTTTGCTTTGTTTTAAATTTCCTTCACCTGTATTTGATCTGGGAGTGGTGCTGGATGAGCAAACACTGACCTAGCACTCCCTGCCTTTGTCATGTGCCTGAGTGTCTAATGTCTGGAACACAGGACATGGGAGCTGAAGAGGCTGCTCTGAATGCATCAGAGGGATATTGTGTGAAGGCAGCAGCAATGGTTGCTTTAGGCCTGCTTGTTGTTAATGTGCCAGTCTGGCATTTGGTATCCCCTTCCTCTTTTTAAAAGTTGATACTGAGACTGGGGAGGTAGTTGAGTGGGTATAGTGTTTGTGGTACAAACCTGAGGACCCAACCCAAGTTCAGGTCCCTAGCACTCAAGTCAAAAGCCTGGTGCCTGCCTGGCTGTGATTCAGCTCTATGGAGGCAGAGACAAGAAATTCTGGAACTTGCTGGCCTGCCAGTTTAACCAAATCTGTGAGCTCCAGGTTTAGAGAGAGTCTTTAAGTCTGGAAGGCGACTTAGCAGTTAGGAGTACTTGCTGCTCTGGCTGAGGACAGAGTGTGTGTCTGTGCCTGAGTGTATACCCACATTGAGTGGCTCAGAACTGCCTGGATCTCTAGCTCCTGGGATTCAACACCCTCTTCTGGCATTTTAGGTACTTGCATATGCACATAGATTTTAAAAAATATATTGACAGCTGTGGTAATACTCACCTTTAATCTCAGCACCTTGAAGGCAGAGACAGTTTGAGATCAGCTTGGGCTACAGTGTGAGACCCTGTCTTGAAAAACAAATCAACCCAAGCGAACAAATAAATATGAGTAAACTTAAATTGAACATTGGAGTTTTGTTTTGTTTTTGAGATGTTTCTTTTAGCTCAAATTTGCTACGTGGTCAAGGGTGATCTTGAGTTGCTGCTCTCCCTGCTCGGTCTCCCAGGTGCTCGTATTACTGGCTGTTCCAGGGTGCACCAGAGACCAGCTGGGGTTTGTGTTGATGCAACTGTGTTCATAGCCTGTGGAGGCCAGAGGTCAGCCTTAGCTGTTTCTCGGGAGCCAGCCAGCACATTTGTTTCTTGAGCAGAGTCTTACTGTCCTGAAGCTTGCTATCTGGCCAGTGAGCCTGAGGGCTCCACCTGTCTCCTTCCCAGGACTGGAAGTTTAAGTGCATGCCACCATATCAGGCTGGATAGGGTTTCTCTGTGTAGCCTTGGCTGTCTGGAACTCACTTTGTAGATCAGGCTGTCCATCTGACTCTGCCTTCTAAGTGCTGGGATTAAAGGCATATGCCACCATGCCCTGACTACAACCTTATTTTTGAGACGGGATCTCTAACTGAGCCAGGAATTTGCCATTTCAGCCAGACTGACTGGCCAGAAGACTCTAGAACTGCCCATTACAGAGTCTCCACAGCTCTGGATGTCCCTCTATCTGACTCTTTGGTTTTTCAAGACAGGGTTTCTCTGTGTGGCTTTGGAGCCTATCCTGGCATTCGCTCTGTAGACCAGGCTGGCCTCGAACTCACAGAGATCCTCTTGCCTCTGCCTCTGCCTCCCGAGTGCTGGGATTAAAGGCGTGCACCACCAAGGCCCGGCTCTTTATCTGGCTTTTATGTGGCTACCAGGTTTCAAACCTAGGTCCTTATGCTGTGCACCAAGCCACCTCTTATTTCAACTTCACAGGGTTCTAAAATAGCTCCCATAAAATAGAAATTCATGTGAACAAATTCTGAGAAAGTGTTTACTTAATAGACCACGTGGAATTGTAGAATAGCATGGCAACCGACCACACCTGGCTTTTTATTTTGTTATTTTGTGAGATGGAATCTTGCTATTTTTCCCTGGCTGGCCTTGAACTCTGGTCTCAAGTGATTCTCTTCTCTCAGCCTTTCAAGTTGCTGGGACTATAGGCAGATATCACTGTAAAGATGTCTAAGCTGGCCGGTTGCATCTGCTTTCTGTTCTGTGCCAGCAGAGCTGTAAAAGCCATCCAACTATAAAATGATTTGTTTCCGCAAGGTTATTCTGGTTTCCTTGATCTGGTGTAACAAGGCACCAGGACTCAGCACAAAGCAGCTTCTAAGTCAATTCCAAACCACATTGCACCTGTTTGAAGTCACCTGGAGGCTTTCTGTCGTGCTGCACGAGGATATTGGGGGCCTGTAGTCCCATGTCTGTGCCCTTTCCTGCCTCTGACCTTGTCCCTTCCCTTCTCACTTGTCCTTGTCCAAGACTGGCCTTGCACCAGCTTGGGCTCTTTCCTCGTGTATTGTTCTCAGGAGCAGGGTCTTCATCAATGTTCTGTTGATGTGAAGAGACGCTATAACCAAGACAATTCTCTCTTTTTTTCTTTTCTTTTTTTATTTATTTTTATTTTTGTTTTTGTTTTTGTTTTTGTTTTTGAGGTTCTGTTTCTCTGCATAGCCTTGGCTGTCCTGGAACAAGTTGGCTGTGTTTGACCAGGCTGGCCTCGGACTCACTGAGAAACACCTGGCTCTGCCTCTCTGAGTGAGTGTGTGAGCGAGCGAGCCAGCGCTGGGATTCGACCAAGACAACTCTTAAAAAAGAAAGCATTTAATTGCAGCTTGCTTGTTTAGTCCATTATCATGATAGCTGAGAGTATGATGGCAGACAGACATGGTGTGTGCTGGAGAGTAGCTGAGAGTTCTACGTCTGGAGCCACAGGCAGCAACGGGAAGAAACCCCAGAGCCCACCCCCAGTGACACTCTTCCTCCACCGAGGCCACACCCAATCCCTCAAGTAGTGCCACTCCCTTGGTGACCACGTATTTGAATACATGAGCCTGTGTGGGCCATTCTTATTCAGACCACCACATGTAGCAAAAAACAAACAAAAAAACATTTGAGAGAAGTTCTGCACTGCCTCTTCTTTTTTTTTTTAAGTTTTTATTTATTTATTATGTATACAACATTCTGCTTCCATGTATATCTGCACACCAGAAGAGGGTACCAGGTCTCATAACGGATGGTTGTGAGCCACCATGTGGTTGCTGAGAATTGAACTCAGGACCTCTGGAAGA